GCAAGCTTCCGACAGCTGAAGCATATGGAACCACTTTCACTTTATCAATTGAGCTCATATTGGTTCCTAGGGCATTGAAAATCCCCATATCTGTCGCCTTTGACTATAGGAGTAGGTGAGGGACTACATTTGTGCATACTGAATTTCTTTAAGATCTTTTTCATGTATGCCTTTTGTGACAGTCATTATACCCTTTTCTTCTATCTCGGTGAATCTCGATCCCTAGAACGAACGAGGCTTCCTCAAGATCTTTCATATCAAGTTTTGAGAACAAAACTTCTTTGTCTCCTGTAGTAGACTGACATCACTACTAGCAAGTAAGATATCATTTACATACAGGATAAGGAAGATAAACTTCCCAATCTTAAACTTTGCATAGACACAATTGTCCTCTACATTCTCTTTAAAACCCAAAATTCTTTATTGACCGATCAAACTTCAAGTACCACTGTCTTGAAGCTTGCTTTAATCCATAAATGGATTTCTTTAGGCGGTATCCCATTCGTTCTTTTCTTTTCATAACAAAACCTTTCGGTTGTGCCATGTAAACATTTTCCTCCAAGTCTCTGTTGAGAAATGTCGTCTTTACATCCATATGATGTAATTCTTAATCGTAATGTGCCACTAATGCCATTATGATTCTGAAGGAAACTTTACATGAGACTAGAGAAAAGGTATCATTGTAATCAATCCTTTCTCTTTGTATAAAGCCTTTTGCCACAAGTCACACTTTATATGTCTCTATATTCCCTTGAGAGTCATGTTTAGTCTTGTAGACCCATTTATAGCCTACTGTTTTGACTCTTTTAGGAATTATTTCCAAGTCCTAAACTTTATTGGCATTCAATGATTTCATTTCATCTTCCATAGCCTCAAGCCACTTTGATGACTGATCACTACTCATGGCTTCTTCAAACAAGGCGAGATCATCCTCCATTTGAAATTCTTTAGTGTTGTACACTTCATAATCAGCAGGAATAGCTGATTTTCTAACTCTTTGAGACCTTTTAGGGGCCTCCACATTTGGCACATCTTCTGTTTGAGGCTGTTGTTGCTCCCCCTCATGTGTGGCAATTGGTTCTATTGGATCCTGAATAACAGGTTCCTCATTTTTATTCATTGTTGCCATAGGTGGGATAACAACAGGTGCTGACACCACAGTATCTAGCACAGTCGGTGCAGCTACAGCAGGTAGTGAGAGAATTGGCTCATGAATCATTGGAGTGGTCGCTTACACCCGCTTCGCTTCAAGGTCAATTTCTTGAGCTACCATGCTCCCCCTTATCTTTTCATCCTCTAGGAAAATAGCGTGTCTCGTTTCCACAAACTTTGTGTGTCTCTCTGGACAGTAGAAACGAAAACCTTTTGACTTTTCTATGTAGCCAAACAAATGGCAACTTACTGTTTTGGGATATAACTTCTCAATGTTTGGGTTAAATACTTTAGCCTCAGCAGGACTCCTCCACACACACGTAAGTGGTTTAGTGAGGGTACTCTTTCTATCCACAACTCATACGGTGATTTGGGCACCGACTTTCCTGATACTTTATTGAGAATATGAATGGCCGTTTTCAACGCCTCCATTCACAGGCTCAACTGTAAGGTGGAGTAACTTATCATACTGCCCACCATATCCATCAAGGTATGATTGATTCTTTTAGCTACTCTATTCTGCTGAGGTTCGCCCGGTGTAGAATACTGGGCTACTATGCTATTCTTTTAGGGTATGCTGACCGTAGTACTCCTCCACGGTCAGACCTGACTATCTTAATCTTTAATATCTTAAATTTATCCAATACATCTTTTTTTCTTTGATTGGATAAATATAGTCATAATGGGAGTAATCATCTGTGAATGTTATGAACAAATCATAACCATCCACACTCTTTACAGAAAAGCTGACCACAGATGTCAGTGTGAATAATCTGTAAAATTCATGTGCTTCGTTTATCATCTTTCTTTACATACTTTCCTTTTATGCATTCTCTGCATTGAACTTAATCTGAGAGCTCTAATGGAGGAAGAATATCATTCTTAACTTATCTTTCTATTCTCCCCCTCGAAATATGGCCTAAACGACAGTGCCATAATTTCGACAATGCATCGTGAGCTCTCTTATGCCACCATTTCTAGAGTAACACTTTGTGACCAGCTTTATCAGCTAAGTGACATATGTCTTTGAAGAGCCAGTGAACTGCTCTTTATTCTATCGAGGTACTCGGTGGCCGTGTCACATTCTGGGATTGAGCCCACAATTGTAGGTTCAATCATGTTCTTTATCACAGCCAAACATTTCTTGTTTGCAGTGACCCACTTTCTATGCTCAAAAGCCATAGGATATCTTTTGGGATTCAAAATCTCTTTCTTTAGTTGTCCAAGTGGCATCATTCTCTTTTGTCTCCCTCACGGTGCCACAATCTCAGTGGAACACGATGAGGTGACTACCCAGTCCACCTTAGACAAGATGAAAAACAGGTCAAATCTTTTCTTAACATAAAATTAACACCATTTGCATGTATTGATTTCAACGTTGGTCAAAATCAAAACATACAACTATTCTTATACACTAATTCTACATCACCGTTGGGCAGAAATAGAATTAATGCATAAATCTTTAACTTTCATAACTGTTTTTACACACTAATTCTACATCACCGTTGGACAAAAATAGAATTAATGCATAAATCTTTAACTTTCATAACTATTTTTACACACTAATTCTACATCACCGTTGGACAGAAATAGAATTAATGCATAAATCATTAAAATTAACATATGTTCTTATACACTAATTCTACATCACCGTTGGGCAGAAGTAGAATTAATGCATAAATCATTAAAATTATCAACTTTTCTTATACACTAATTCTACATCACCGTTGGGCAGAAGTAGAATCAATGCATAAATCATTAAAATTACGATATTGTTATTAATAACGTTGGTCAGAAAATAACAACGTCATAATCATATCAAAACTCTTTTTCTCCAATTAAATACCACGTTGGTACAAATTAACCGGAGAATAAACAATTTCTCTAGCTGTAGAAAAACTCCTTTTCTTGAATTTTACTCACAGGGAAAATTGTATTTTCTATTTCCTTTAATCCATTAATTAATTTCCAGAAAATAAAACATTTACTGGAAAAAATTTGAGAATATACTTTTTCTTTAGCAGCGGAAAAACTCTTACTCAATTTCTTGAATTTTACCCACAGGGAAAAATTACCTTTTCTATATTATTTAAGCCATTAATCAATTTCCAAGGAATAAAAACTTTACTGGAAAATAAAAAACGAAAAATGGCTCAAATGATCACTGTTCTTTCAAATTTCGGCTAGCAAAACAGTCCGCCCACTACTCTCTCGCACAGTATTTCTTTTACCTAGGCATAACTTTGGGCTAGGCGGCAAAGCAGCGCCCGCCAAAGAAGTTGCTGCATGCGCTTCGCCTCGGGCTTTGGCGAGAGCGACCCGATCAACCGATGCCATTGATTCCAATCGGACGGCCGAAGGGCGTTTGGCCGATCAAACACCAGCGCCGCTTCGGCCCCAAAGAACCCTAGCGCCATTCGCCCCTGCCCTTCTCTCTCTTCTTCGCCTTCTCTCTCTCTCTCCTCGCTCTCTCATCTCATCTCAAAGCACAACCGAAGCACGAAGAGCGAGCGAAGCGCGGTGGAGCGAGGCGGTGGAGCGGCCATGGCGCGTCGTCGGCCCCCTCGCCGCGCCGCGTGCTCCCTAACGGTGAGCACGCCGCCGCCGAAAGCAACTCGGCAGCCGTGCCCCCCCTTTGAGCGAGCCCGGCGACAACGCCCCGTTTCGACCTTTCTTCCCAGCGCAGGTGAAAGGCCGGCGAGGTAGGTCCACCCCTTCCCCTTGTTTGATTCTTTTCTGTTTCTCTTTTCGGTCGAGTTCGATTTGAATTTCTTTTCATTCTTCTCGGATTCAACCGGTTAGGGATGAGGATTCGTTCTAGGGTTAGAGTTTCGGCTCTGTTCATCTTAAGGCCGAAAACTTTTCTTTTCCCTTTTTCTTTAACCCAGTTAGGGTTAGGGTTCAAGTGTCGAGGGCCCTTGATTTTCTTCTTCTCTGATCCGAACACGGATCTGTTCTTTTCCCCACACGCGGTGGCGGTGGTGACCGGTAGACAGTACCCCGTTCTCTCTCTTTTTGCTTTTACCCGGTTAGGGTTAGGGTTACACACTTAGTAACCTGCTCCGATACCATTGATAGGATCGAATGTGTGTACCTCACTGTGACCCGTAGATCCGGTTAGGCTCCTTGCTTGTCTCTGTTGCAGCGCATCGGCAAGCGTAGACGCCGATGCCGTCGGTGTAGTAGACGTCGTAGTGGCGAGGAGGTGAAGTCCAGTGCTGGTACTGCAGTGGTCCGATGGTGGCCCTGCAGTGGGAGCAACGGCGGTGGTGGCGGGCTCATCCCGTCGCTGGCAGCACGTCTTTAGATCGGATTAGGGTTTTCTGTGGTGGGTGTAGCGGCTCCGGCGAACCTCGTTCGTTGAGCCCAGTCCCCACTCCTCTATTTATGTGCTGTGCGACAGGAGTCCACCAACCAGTTAGGGTTGGGCTCCCCCGATCAGGGAGCAGAGGCAAGGGCCCAATAGGCCGTTGGGCCTATTGATGAAGATCAACCAACAGGGCTGAAACGATTGTATACGATCGTGGATTATTACTGCTGATGAGTTTGATGTGAGAGAAAAATACTCTTCTAGCTGAAAATGTACTATCGTTTACTATCGAGCGAACAGGCCCTCGCTGTGATATCTTAGTAAATCGTGATCACTCACACCAGTCACCAGACATCCATCCATCGTCCTTAGAAACCGGGAAAAATCGCACAGGCACACAGTAAATACACTCGTTCTCTCATCATTGCATGGATTCATCATCATCGGTGAGTAGTGAACTAGTGATCACACGACCTCCACCGCGGTCCGGCCGCCGAAATCGAGCGTGAGCATGGACGCCCTGAACCTGGGCTGCTTCTCAGGCGAGCCGACGACCGCCGCCGCCGCCGCTCCGGCTCCGGTGCCGCCGCCCGGCGCGACGTGCTCCGGCGTGCCGAGCCACTTGGCCTCCATGTACCGGTGCTTCCTCCAGGGCGCCATGTGCATGCCGCTCTCGGTGCGTGCACTGCCTGGCCGCGTCGCACAAGACCCTGACGACGGCCCGCAGCTTCTCCGAGCGGTCCACGAACAGGTCCGGCAGCGCGGCCACCAGCGCCCTGTACTCTGCGCCGCCCCGCGCCATCTCGAACTCGGAGCGGAAGCTGGGCTCGACCACCACGCGTACCGCCTTGCCGCTCCTCGTCGGCGCCACCACGTCCACGTAGCTGTGCTCCCCTGCGCACACGAACGCGTGCCAGATTGGTTTGATCGGCGGAGATTCAGAAACTGTGTGCACTCTCATCAGACGTGGTGTGGTTGGTGATGATGGCCAGGCCATGTGAAACATGCATGTGAGTTTAATATGCACAGCACAACACAGCACAGTCGTGCTTGCACATCACGCACAACTATTTTTTGTAACCAGACAAAAGAACAGATGGACCTTTCCACTTGCAGGTTGCAGCCTGGGGCTTGTTCGCTGGTTGATTTCTGGACTAGTTTAGGCTGGTTAGGGCTGATTTATTGGAAGAGAAAAACACTGTTGACTAACTGGTTTAGGCTGGCGGAAACCGATCAGCGGCGCTGAACAGGTGCAGCAAGAATAAACAACCACTACGATAGTACGATCTGGCCAAAAAGTTGGCCACATGCAGACATGCTCGTTCCTTTTTTGGAGTGCAAAAATTCCAGCCTTTTTGCGTTCGTTCTGCAAGCGTGCAAAAATTCCAGTGCGACTATTGTTACCTGAGGGGATTTCCGGAGTGCGGGACCACTTGGACCTGCAGATGGCGCTGTTGTAGCCGGCGTCGCGCAGCCGCTCGGCGACGAAGCGGAGCGCGCAGCCCCGGCAGCCTCCTGCGGCCGCGGCCGCGGCCGGGGCCGCGCGGGTCGCGCAGGAGCAGACGCCGCCGGGCGTGGCGCGCATCTGCCCCACGGCCTCCTCCGTGTCCGCTCGGATCCGGCTCTCCGCGGAGCTCGTCTTGGCCAGCGCTGCCTACACGTACGCACGCATTTGTCACGTCATCACGGCTAGACACTAAAACGCGGCGCGTGATGAGCACAAATGCAGGATCCATCGATGGACGATGGGAACTGGGAAGGGGAAGGAACTTACATGCAGCAGCGGTAGCTGCTCCCGCCAGAACGCCGCGCTCACGGCGCGCCCGCCGCTGGCGCTGGACCCTTCGTCGTCGTCGTCGCTGCCATCGCCGGCGGTAGAGGCGGCCTCCTCCGGCCACCTCTCCCTCTCGGCCTCCTCGTAGAAGCCCAACACCATGTTGGACAGGCTCATCTCGTTGCCGGCGGCGGCGGCCGCCTCACCAACAACCATCCTCGCCGAAGCTCGCTCTGCGCGGGAGGCTTGGCTGTGTGCTGGGCTCCTTAATCGCCACAAAGTTTGTCGCGCTGGTTCTGTGGCTGCAGCCCCAATTTTTTATAATTAGACCTTTTTTTTAAGAAAATTTACGTTTGACTTCTGAGAGACTTAAACTCATCTTTGAACCCTAAGAGTCGGCGCTAGGACTCATGGGGCTGAGGTAAAACGTCTCGGCGCCACAGATTTTGGCTCCGAGATACCTGGCTGTGCGCAGTAGGGCATCCTAGGTGGCGTTCACGTGGCCGGTACCTCGGCGTCAGAATACATGGCGCCGAGCTCGGTGCCAAGATCTATGGCGCCGAGCTCGACGCTATGTATTTTGGCACTGAGCATGGATTCAAAGCGTGTGGCCACAGTTATTCTGGTGCCAGAACAGGGGTGGAGCACACTCGAGCAAGGGAAGAATGCGATGGTGGTCGGCGCCACAGATCAACGTTGGTGGTCGTCTCCGCACACGAACAGGGGTGGAGCACACTCGCGCAAGGGAAGAATGCGAGCACGGAGCTACGGGGCAGGACGGCTCAGTGTGGCTGCAAGGAGAGGCGAGAGGAGCGCCCTTCTATAGACAGCCCGAGGCGAAGATTGGCTGGCCGGCTCGCTCATGGCCATGGCAGAGCTGGTACGTGGAGGGGCGACCGGCATGCGTGGTGCAGCAGCTGGTCGGCGCTGAGGCGACGCCCGCGTTGACGGCGTGCGACGAGGCGGACAATGCTGGCGAGGATGGCCGCAGCGACGTGGGTGGAGCAGGACGACGTGCGTGATAAATGCTATCAGGAGTGTGCGTAGCTAGCTTGCTCTGCTGCGGGCTGCGTGTGTGTTTGGCCCGTTGATAATCACATTAAAAAAAGGTGTCCTGGAGATGTATAGTTGAGCTATATTGCAGCATTAAAACTTCGATTCAACATACTTTTTTTTCTTTTTGTTTGCTAACCTTATCTTATTTTATTTGGTGATGAAAAAAATGATGTTAACAATTTCTATAACTAAAGATCTTCTCTCAGAGATTATAAAAAAGCCTGCCCTCTAAAAAGAGGACCCACGAACACCTCTTCTAAACAAATGGATTCTAGCTAAGGGCCTTTTTTGAATGCCGTAGAAAATACAGTATAGGAAAATAAAGCCATCAGGGTGATACTTCTGTGTACTCCAGTACATTTGGGTCATCTATCTATCTACGTATCTATATACACATAGTACTTCGTAGGTCCCAAGTCACATGTACATTTGGTCATGTGCCTGTCAGTGTATCGAATTAATAAAGTTTGTTGTTTCTTGAAATCTACTAGTTGAAAGGGGGTACGTACGTGTGCCAGGAATTTCAAAAGATTGTTCGGCTGGTCAACTTATGGTTTCTTCAATTTGTTTTAGCTTTATTCTCTCTCACAGAACACTATTGAATTATCCGAAACCATCCAAAATTTATTGTGCAGTCTACCAGCCAAATACGCTGTGTACGTCTTGGCTTTCGTCTGTTGTGATTTTCTTTTTGTCCAGCTAAACACACCTTTCAGATCGATCGTTGTTACTTAGCTTTCTTTTGTGATGTTGACAGTGGTATTCATACATGGGCACCGTGTCAGCCCACAGCAGAGCAAGCTAGCTACGCACACTTCTAATAGCATTTATCACGCACGTCGCCCTGCTCCATTCACGTCGTTGCGGCTGTCCTCGCCAGCCTTGTCCGCCTCGTATGGGCGCCAAGATATGTGGCGCCGAGCTCGGCGTCAAGATCTGTGGCGCTGAGCTGGTGCGCCATGTATTCTGGCGTGGAGGTACTGGCCACATAAACGTCACCTAGGATGTTTTGCTGTGCATGACTCAGGCACCTTGAGCCAAGATTTGTGGTGTCGAGACGTTTTACCTTGGCGCCATGAGTCCTGACACCGACCCCTAGGATTTAAAGATGAGTTTAAGTCTTCCAGAAGATAAAACCTAAATGTTTTTTTAAAAAAATGTCAAATTATAAAAAATTAGGGCTGCAGCTGGGTGGCTTTTGCTTTCTGCCGGTTTATATATCCGGGGATGTGGGGGACGTGGCGAGCCGGCAATGGTTGGGACTGTAGGTGTGGGACCCGCGTCGGAACGGATCAGGCCAGGTTGGTTGGAACGGGTCCACGTCGGGAGATCGCCCTCCTGCGGATTACTGGTTTGCTGGCTCATGGAGTGATCACTCACCAGCCCATTTTCTTTTCTTCAGCGAATCGAAGAGGAGAGTAGGCACAAATACACGAGTTCATTTTTCTTGGATCAACAATTTCAAAAGAAATGTCAAATGGCTTTCTGCTTACAGTAAGCTCTATCAGAAAATAGTACGAATCCTCTGATTAGTACTCCAATTTGGACAAGCTCAAGGATTCCCTAACGCAACACGATCGATGATGTATTGCCCCAGCCTTCACATATGCGTCCAGTTCTATATCATGAAGAATAGTGATTTCACGGATGTTTATAGTGACCTGCATTGAGGTATTGGTACGAGAAAGGCTAACCTACACTAAGTGTTCAACACTTGATTTCTCCTCGCCTCCTCCCCGCCTTCTCTCCTTCCTCTGCTGCTCCTCTTTCTCTGAAAAACCTACCGTGTCTTGCCCACCAATTCGTATGGCTCCGTTTGCTTCGCTGAAAAACTAAGCCAAAACATCGTTCTGACTGATTTGTTGTGAGAGAAAATACTGTTCTGGCTGAAAAAACAAGTTAAAAGATACGGATTATAAGACAGGAGTAAAAAGATTTTTTACAAACAGTCCTTTGCACAGTAGGTGAACAGTACAGTAAACAGTGTTTGGTATAGTTAACAGTTTTTCTACTGTTAATCAAGCGTGTTTCGAGGTTAAGAGATTATTATATTATTTGGCCTGGAAAAACTACAATTTGTATGTCGCCATCAATTTTGTCTCCATTAGTTTGCTGCAACCGAAAGCCTCTCGTACAGGGCGCCAAGCTCGACGCCAGCGTCTACGGCGCTGAGCTCGGCGCTAGCGTCTACGACGCCGAGCTGCCTGCTAAATCAGCGTCACGTCAGCGTCGAGTTTAAGATCTCGGCGCCAGCGATGATGGCGCCGAGCTAAAGGTTCGGATTCTAAAATCTTTTTCCAAAACGTATTTATGAAAAACTTTTAAAAAAATGCTAAAAAATAAAAAATTCAGCCCACGCGATGCCGTGCCGAGAGCGCTCCAGAAGACACCGTCACCGTGCACAGGTGCGTATCCAAAGGAGCTGCCGGGGCTACGGCTCGCGCAGTGAGTCTGATTTCTTTATTAGACCACGATTATTTAACTTTAAATTATTATTAATCTCTGGCTTTAGTCCTAAATCTTTATTATTTAGCCCTCTTTTGTCCTCATCCAACATCCGCGACCGTGCACACCGACGCTTCCACGGGGTTCCCGCGGGAGTGTTCGGCTGAGCTGAAATTTTACTATTTATGTTGGAAATACTGTTCATACTGAAATGTTGTGAGAGAAAAATACTGCTTCAGCTGAAAAAAATAAGCTAAACAGCTAAATTTCAGCTCAGCCGAACAAGCTGCTTCCACCGGCTGATGGCTGATGCAGGTGCCGCACGTTTGATAGGCGGGTGAATGGATGATAACACAGTGCAGCCGTGTAGGCCGACGACGACGCACATATGCGCCCCGGCACCGGTCGGTTACTCATCGCTAATACGACGAGTCGATGACACACGTGCAGCGACACGCATGCAGGATTGCAGGAAGCTAGGCCGGCTTTTTCACCTGTAGTCGTCGGGCATGGTTGGGCTGGGTATCACGTTTTCGTTCCAAAACAGGGGGTCGGATATCTGTTCCTTGTTGCGCGTTTTTCAGGTAGGCCTTGTTTATTTGACATCGTAGCACTTTCGTTTGTATTTGATAATTATTGTTTAATCATAGCTTAACTAGGATTAAAAGATTTGTCTCGTAATTTATAATCAAACTATGTAATTAGTTATTTTTTTATCTACATTTAATATTCTATATATATATCCAAAGATTTAAAGTAATGGAGAGAGAGTAAAAAAACTTAGAATCTAAACAAGGCCGTAGACAGAATCCCGGCTTTCGTCTTTCGTGGGATGCACGACGACTTATTGGCGTGTGAACGCATGGACTGAGAGAACTCAGTATTCCTTTGATTTGATTTGATTGATGACTCGTCGATCCCTCTCAGGTTGCATTTGGTTGAAGCAATTTGGTGTCACAGTCTCACGCGGAATGAGGGTTCGTTTGACGAGCTATGGCACGGTTGGAGGCATGGCACCACGTGTCGATTGCTTCCACACAACTTTTCTAGCGTCTCATAACCATCTAGAATAATAGCACATGCTAGCGTGATATGATTAGGATGTTGTTCTTTCGTTCAATAACTCGATTTTGTTGATTGGTGTAAGTGGTGGAGAATTCATGCTTGGATGTCGTGTTCATCATACCACTCTCAACGAGAGCATTGTGGAATTCTGATCTACATAAGAAGCATCACAAACTGTTTTTGAGCCCTCTTGGTAAGGCAAACATATTAAATGGGGCGTATCCATGTTGCCTATATCACGATTCTATGATTTCTTGGTATTTATTATTTTCCTTGTCTCATATTTCAATGTATAATTGTTATTTTGCTCAAAGATTTCTACACATTTATTTTTGTCCTTTATGACTTAGATTTTGGAAGTGATAATTAATATCCATTGGAGGATTCTATGACTCTACATTGTAGTCATGTTGAACCCTATATACTATAAGTAGATGTCCATGGTGCAAGGACCAAGCAAAATTGACAATATTCATCATTTCTCAGGCTAAAATAGAGGAAATAGTCTCCTTGATGGTTATAAAAGAAATCCTTCTAGTTGTTGTCTATGCCTCTGTGTTTACTATATTTGTAGGACATCAAGCTTCGGGTGAGGGTGATTGTTATTGCTAGAAGGTGGCGGTTTTTGTTAACCGTGACAAAACCATAAG